ATCTTGATCCTGCCCTGTTGACTCTGCATTAAAGCATCCTCCCTCCTTTATCTAACTAGGTTAGTTGAATGTAGTTTTACTGAGGTGCTACAATGCTATATTGTTAATGCATTTGGTAAAAGTAACCATTATAAGCTGAATGAAGTTACATTGTTTTAACGGTATTTATCTAGTATAGTAGTGTTTGTATTAGGGCTGGGCGATAATTCAATAACGATATATATCGATCGATAGACGTGTGGCGCAATAGAAAAAAAGAGGGTCGATAAAAGTTCGATAAAAAAGAAACGCAGTTTTCCTTCCTTCTCATTGTAGCCTAGCATGTAGGTTTATGCTAGTCACTGCTTCCTCCCAACCAATCACAATCGCGGACCCAGGCACGCCGTCACCAAGCGCCGCCCTCTCAAACCACAACACAGAGCACATGAAGATGCAGCAAGGAGAGTCGGAGGAAATTGTTTCAAAGAAGGGTTTTTATAATTCGGCAGTCTGGCAGTATTTCGGTCATGGCAAGTCGGACAAAAAACAAACCACAGTCATCTGGAAAATGTGTAGGGAACCAGTGAAAACCAAGTCTGATAACACAACCAACTTTTTTTTTTTTTTTTATCTCAGCCGCTCACACCCACAGGAGTACGAGCTGTGTAGGCCCCGGCGCGGCTCTCCTCCTAGGAATCTTCGGGAAATATATATATATTTTCAGTTCTGGGCAGTTTCCCACGTAGTTCTAACAATTGAGAGAAAAATGCTGAGGGGCCAGCAACTTCAAAGTAATAACTCAGGTTAAAGCAGGAAACGGGGGCGGCGGCGGCGGTGGGGGGGGGGGCATTTATTTATTTGTTATATTTATTTTGGTCACTTTAGTTAGTCAGTCAGTCAGTATTTAATAACATAACTCAGGTCTCTTAAGTTATTCTTCTTTATTCTTCTTTAAAACAATTCTGTTATGGTTAAAAAAGTTGGTTAAATAAAGATTTAATTCGAAGTCTGTGTTTGTGTTTTTTATTAAAATTAAATCATTTAGCCCTAACCCTAGCATATTATAAAAAGTCCAGGCAGACCTGCACATAAAATATGGTTTCAAATCTTTTCAATAATTATCGATATCGATCAATATGCATTTTTTTTTATCGATAAGCTTTTTTTCTATATCGCCCAGCCCTAGTTTGTATAGGTGTTACATTTCTGTAATCTTGGATTATCAGATTGGAGACATCATTGTTTATCTTGCAGGTTTGAACAGAGGATGGTATATCACTCAGGCCAGATTCACCCTCCTTTACATGACATTTGAATAAACAGAGACAAATATTGCTTTGGTTGGTAATTAATGGCTCTGCTGATAGCCTAACCTAAGTTACTAAATTGGTGGGAATAACTGGATTTTAACAGCCGGTCCAGAAGCCACCCGGATGTGAAAGGCCCAAAATCCTGATAAGTAAGCAGATTATAGTTATAATTATTCAACTAAGAACATTAAATTGGTTTTACCCCGATTTTGAATGATTCAAAAAAATCAACTACAACTCCAGTTCTAGTTAATCATACATTCATAACCTATAGGTAAAATATCACACAACCAGTCGGCTTCAGCAGATGGCCGCTCACACTGAGCCTGGTTCTGCTGGAGGTTTCTTCCTGTTAAAAGGGAGTTTTTCCTCTCCACTGTCGCTAAAAGCATGCTTAGTGTGAGGGATTGCATTCGAGTCAATGAGTTGATGCAATCAACTGGTTTTCCTTAGATAGAAAACTTTGAATCAATTTGACTGGATGATCTGGTTGAACTGTAAAGTGCCTTAAGATGACATGTGTTGTGAATTGGCGCTATATAAATCAACTGAATTGAATTGATTTACTGCTTAGACCGCTCATTTAAAACAGTTAAGAAACAAACTGGAAAACAATCCCACCTTAATTAAGTTGTGACTAATGGGTTAGGCTCTGCCTCTTTTTCTATTCCTGCCTCTGTCTCTTCGAACCCGAGATAAAAGTGAGTTTTTTTCTCTCCACTGTCGCTACAAGCATGCTTAGTGTGAGGGATTGCCTTCGAATAAATGAGGAGATGTAATCAGCCGGTTTTCCTTAGATAGAAACCTTTGGATCAATTTGACTGTATGATCTGATTGAATTGTAAAGTGCCATGAGATGAAGTGTTCAGAATTAGCGCTATATAAATAAACTGAATTTAGTTTAATTACTGCTTAGACTCTTCGTTGACAAGCGTTAAGAAACAAACTGGAAAACAATCCCACCTTAATTAAGTTGTGACTAGAGGGTAGGGCTGGACGATTTTATCATTTCAATTTTATTCGCGATGTGAGAGAGTCGACGCCTTATAAAAAAAAAAAAAGTTTTCAAAGACCAAACCACATTTAAGCAGCTCCGCACATAACCAATCAGTTGGAACAGAGCCACACACGTAGAAGAGTAGTAGCGCAAGCCGTGGTGAAGTTTGCAGCAAATAATTTCTCCAGCCAAACCATAAAACCTTCTAAGACTTTAAAAATGAGCAAGAACTCTGTTGATGGGAGTTCTGAACAGGAATCAAGTGAAAATACTGCCCAGAAGAAGGACGGCATCGTTGAAAAGAAGGGTCTGAGAAGTTTTGCTACTTGGAGGTACTTTGGGTATTTGAAGTCAGACGAAAAACAAAGTAATACACCGTGCAAACTATGAAGAAGGAACTTAGCTACTAAAACAGGAAACACCAGATATTTGTTTCAGCATTTAACCCTCTCCAGGCAGATGTTGCAGATTTGCAACAGCTAAATGCCACTTATCTAGTTACTCCACATCCATATTTTAAGAGCTTTTGTTACTCAGAAGTAAAACAGAAGGACTTAGTTGTGTATTTGCAACAAACAGTTTCTCCCCAGCTCACCAGATCGCACTGCTGACTCACTTTTAACATGGCTGAGTCCTTGGTGTCAGTGAAACAGATTTTCTAAGCACTGATTTCATGTAAGTATCACTATCAATTTCCATCAATTTGAAATCAATACTACATAAGATGAATCATAAATATGTATAGATATGACACACGCCAATTAGTAGATTTTATCACCTCTGGGTTTTTCACCAGAGGCATCTCGATTTCAATGTTGTGAATCTGCAACGTGTGCCCAAACAGGTACCAATGGATGCTACGCTTTATCTACTAGTTTGCCTATATTTTGAGCAACAGTTTAACAGAAACAACCTTCTCAAGAGGTGATGAGATGTCGGTGGAGAAAAAGTTTGAGAAAAAGTTGTCTCTAATTTTGTGAGAGAATTTTTTTTTTTCGCATTTTGTTCTGTTAATTATTTGTTTGTTGTTGTTGACATTCAAATAAAGTTAATGTTCATATCAGATTCAGTCTTCAGTGTTAATTTACCACTCCCGTCCACTGTTGCAAATCTGCAACATCCCAGAATTCATTGCATGTGAAGGTCTCTCTCAAAAAAGTCTGAATTGTATATTGTTACCCCATATGATCATTTTCTTCAAACGTCAGATTTTTCCTGCAACTACAACTTAATTTGAGCCTGAGAGGGTTAAGACAAGTCCACCTATTAAAGCACACACATTTATGCAAGACAGGTCATGCCCCCTTGAGCACCATTAAATCCACTACTGGAATTCACTGATTCACTTTCCAGTGAAAATTATCTGAGTGTGTCGTATCTAAAGCGGAGGCTGCAACTTTTCAGAACAAAGATTCTGAAGCCATCCAACGATGAAACACGGCTCACCAAAGAACTGAAGATGACAGTCAATGATACCTGGACGAAAGGTATAACGATCCGATTAATGAGGAACTGCTTGATGTTGCAATGAGCGCAGTGTCTGAGATGTTGGAGGACGGATCAGAGAACAGAGGAAGCAGCATCAGAACAAGCAGAGGCAGGAGATGCTGACCTGAAGAAATGAAAACAAAAGTCCTAGGGAAGCTTCTTTAAGAAATCAGAATCCAGTTCAGAACTCAATGACAGAGAAATAGTTGAGTGGGAACTTAAAAACTACGTGATAGCAGCAGATGCAGACAGCAGGATGGACCCACTGCAATGGTGGGAGGCAAATGAAAAGAATTTCCCCAGATTTGGCGGCCTCCCAAAGTGCTATTTGTGCATCCCTGCAACCAGCACACCCTCTGAGAGGGTATTTAGCTCAGGGGACACTGTGACCTGTTAGATGGACGCTTTAAAACCTCAGATGGTGGATACACTTGTCTTCCCTGCTCGCAACTTGTGAAAAACAGAATAGCACAACTTTTTTTTTTTTTTTTTACTGATGCACATGCTTAATGCACTTCATGTTTTTGTTGTTTTTGAATGCAGCTAGAATTTTCACCAAGGTGTATGTTTTTATTTAGCATATGGCCTAGTAGGGCCTGGTTTCTTCATTTGACAAAAGAATGTACAATGATTTTGTTTTTGTTCTGTGAAACCATGGCAGTGTCATAACAGCCACATGAAGCAATGAGAATGATAATTAGAAATCCCAATTTAAAGCACTGTAATCCTAATTTATGGATTTAAACATCATCCCAGGTGTTGGAGTGTTTTACAGTCCATATTCTTCCAGATCCACCTGGATCCCAACTTTCAGGACTCTGCAGACTCAGATGCTTTTAGATGCTGCCTGCTCACAATGAGGCTTTTGATCACAACACTTCACATTATTCAAATCCATCAAACACCTGATTAATAGGTCTGATGCCAGAAATGAGGACATTTATTCTGACTCGTTTGTTTGTTTTAATCGGGCAACCCTGCAGCCACCTAATCTCTCCTATCATCTGTGTTATAGACCCCGTTTGTCACAATTTAATCTGATTGTTTCTCTATTTCTGCCTTTTGTTCTACAGGCTGCATAAACAGTCGGTTCTAGAGCAGCTAATCTATCACACTCTCAGCTTTAGCTTAGCATGTTGATCTCCTCTAAGCAGTTTTCCAATCAGATGAGGCTAAAATCCACAGTGTGCATCATCAGGGAATCGTTTCTATCAGGTGTTTCCTACCTATCCGGTGTAAGATGATCTGGGGGATCCTGGTGAAATCCAGCAGTAGATGTTGATCGTCCATCTTTTCCTCCGAATTGACCAAACTCCCTTTAAACTCCGTGAATGTTTCTTCAGCAGGAGTTAACTGCTCGGTGATAAACTCTCCTTGAAGCTGGACTGAAGACATTCTCACTGCAAACACTCCCAGATTATCAGCCTCTCTACAATGACTCCACACACAAGCTAAGCTAATGCTGCTAATGCTACCCGATCCCTACAAGCAGCTCATTGCGCATGCGCAGCTACATCTACTTCCGGGGGGTGACCCTCGATTTTATTTTGTATAAAATACCTAAAATACATTTCCCTCCCGAAAAAATTGTAAACATATGTAACTATAATGTGTTAAATATTAATCACGTATTTCCTGAGAATAAATGCCGCAAAATCCTTTCTGTTTTTTCACTCACTCATGACCGGAAATGACATCACTGAACTCTATTTAATCACTGGATTCCTTTTTTTTTCTTTTTTTTATTGCAAATCTTTGAGAGTACAAACAATGAAAGGACAACTTTTATACTCATTTCAATTCAACACAACATCTTAATAAATAAAGTCCTACAGAAACCCGGCAAACCATAAAATGGTGCATCATCGGACTACAGGTGCTGGTCATAAAATTAGAATATCATGAAAAAGTAGATTGATTTCAGTAATTCCATTTAAAAAGTGAAACTTGTATATTATATTCATACATTACATACAAACTCATATATTTCAGATGTTTATTTTGTTTAATTTTGATGATTACAAATGACAACAAATGAAAATCTCAAATTCATCATATCAGAAAATTAGAATATTACTGAAGACCAATAAAAACAAAGGATTTATAGAAATGTTGGCCAACTGAAAAGTATGAACATGAAAAGTATGAGCATGTACAGCACTCAGTATTTAGTTGGGCCTCCTTTGGCCTGTATTACTGCAGCAATGCGGCGTGGCATGGAGTCGATCAGTCTGTGGCACTGCTCAGGTGTTATGATAGCCCAGGTTGCTCTAATAGTGGCTTTTAGCTCTTCTGAACTGTTGGGTCTGGTGTATTGCATCTTCTTCTTCACAATACCCCATAGATTTTCTATGGGGTTAAGGTCATGAGAGTTTGCTGGCCAATTAAGAACAGGGATACCATGGTCCTTCAACCAGGTACTGGTAGCTTTGGCACTGTGTGCAGGTGCCAAGTCCTGTTGGAAAATGAAATCTGCATCTCCAAAAAGTTGGTCAGCTGCAGGAAGCATGAAGTGCTCTAAAACTTCCTGGTATGTGGCTGCGTTGACCCTGGACCTCAGAAAACACAATGGACCAACACCAGCAGATGACATGGCACCCCAAACCATCACTGACTGTGGAAACTTTACACTGGACTTCAAGCAACGTGGATGAAGTGCCTCTCTTCTTTTCCTCCAGACTCTGGGACCTTGATTTCCAAAGGAAATGCAAAATTTACTTTCATCAGAGAACATGACTTTGGACCACTCACCAGCAGTCCAGTCCTGTTTCTCTTTAGCCCAGGCAAGACGCTTCTGACGCTGTCTGTGGTTCAAGAGTGGCTTGACACAAGGAATGCGACAGCAGAAACCCATGTCTTTCATACGTCTGTGTGTGGTGGTTCTTGAAGCACTCACTCCAGCTGCAGTCCACTCTTTGTGAATCTCCCCCACATTTTTGAATGGGTTTTATTTCACAATCCTCTCCAGGGTGCGGTTATCTCTCTTGCTTGTACACTTTTTTCGACCACATCTTTTCCTTCCCTTCGCCTCTCTATTAATGTGCTTGGACACTGAGCTCTGTGAACAGCCAGCCTCTTTAGCGATGACCTTTTGTGTCTTGCCCTCCTTGTGCAAGGTGTCGATGGTCGTCTTTTGGACAACTGTCAAGTCAGCAGTCTTCCCCATGATTGTGTAGCCTATAGAACTAGACTGAAAGACCATTTAAAGGCTTTTGCAGGTGGTTTGAGTTAATTAGCTGATTAGAGTGTGGCACCAGGGGCCATCAATTTTGAACCTTTTCACAATATTCTAATTTTCTGATATGATGAATTTGAGATTTTCATTTGTTGTCATTTGTAATCATCAAAATTAAACACAATAAACATCTGAAATATATGAGTTTGTATGTAATGTATGAATATAATATACAAGTTTTACTTTTTAAATGGAATTACTGAAATCAATCTACTTTTTCATGATATTCTAATTTTATGACCAGCACCTGTATAAGCAAATAAATTATAAAGACACTAAACCATTTAATCACAAGACACCATCACATCGCTTATACGTTTGAAATATGACAGAAATTAAATAACAAAAACAGTACTATCGTAAATAATTTAAAAAAATATATTAACAAAGGGCAGTCTTATATCAAATCAAAGTGTTTTAACAAGAATGATAATTTAACAGGTTTGGGTTTAATCAGTGTCTGAGACTTGTAATATAAATCAAAGTCATTTTTCCAATGGCTAAAAGTGGGCTTTATTTTAAAATACCTACATCTATGAATAAAAAAAGTTCCCATCTGTATAAGAAAATTTCCTAAATGTTCAAGGGCCTTATTTTCACTTACTAAACCAAATAAAATGATTGTGTCAGATAGTGGCAACAAAACAATGTTCTTAAAGCTTTGGAAATCTGTCCAGAATAAAAAAAAATAGGTTCACAAAAGAAGAATAAATGTTTCAAATTCTTAACTTTTCTCCAACAAAATAAACATTATTCTGTTTCTAATCTAAAGTTTGATGTCAGAAATTCTTTAGTTGGTTATATTTCATTGATAATTTTGAATTCCATCTCTTTAGCTTTAATGATCTGATCTGCTGTAAAGTCCTTTAAAAGGTAATGTCTTCTAATTTGATTTGGGAAAAGTTATTTTAAGAGGAAAGTCCTCAACGTCCTATTATTTCATCTAATGTCCTGGATCTGAATCCAATCCATTTGCAATTACCTCAGTATTGGGTAAAGGTCTGAGTATACCTAAATATTTTTAACTGGAAATCTAAAAGGACAGGTTATAGAATTCAGCAGTGTGTTATACAGGTTTTTAAAGCACTTTAGGTTGTACTGGGCACAAAATCCAAAAAGTTCCCATCCAAATGAAGTAAATGGCTAATCAGCTTCTTTTTCAAAGACTCTGGTCCAAAGACTATAACTTCTGTTTTGTCTGCATTCAGAATGAGAAAGTTAAGAGTCATCCAGGTTTTTATGTCTTCAAGACATGTCTGTAATCTATGTAATGGGTTAGCTTCATCTGGATTTATAGACAGATAAAGCTGCTGTGAAACAGTGAAAATTAATCCCATGCTGTCTAATAACTCTACCGATTGGGAGCATGTATAAAGTAAAGAGAAATGGTCCTAGCACTGATCCCTGTTGTACTCCACAGGTAACCTTTAAGCATGAGGAAGATTTGTCATTGAAGCAACAAACTGAAATCGATCAGATAGATAAGATTTAAACCAGTCTATTGCTGTTCCTTTAATTCCAACAAAATATTCAAGTCTTTCTAAAAGAATATTATGATCAACTGTATCAAATGCAGCTCTGAGATCTAACAGGACGAGCACAGATACAAGTCCATTATCTGAGGCCATGAGAATATCATTAGTGACTTTCACCAGAGCTGTTTCAGTGCTATGATGAGCTCTAAAGCCAGAATGAAACTCTTCAAAAAGTTCATTATGGTGTAAGTGATCGCAAACTTGTTTGGCAACTACTTTCTCAAGAATTTTAGATAAGAAAGGAAGATTGGATATAGATCTATAATTGACCTAATTTTATAAAAATAGAGTGGTAGCATCAGCTAATGGGACGAATTTTAATTTGTTTATTTAAGACTGAAATACCAGTGTTCGTAATAAGTATTGAAAGAATTAATAGGGAGCATCCACATCTAGTCATATACCTGTTTTAATCTCAAACCTACAGCGAGTACCATAACTTCCATAGCTAACTGAACTAATATAAAATTGCAATCCCTTTTATAAATCTATCACAAATCCAAACTGATGTAGAGTTTTCAGCATAAATGTGTTTCAAAGAATCAAATGCTTCATAAAAATAAAATTAAAAAAAGAATAAAACCTTTTTGTATCAGTTCTTTATAGTCTATTAAGTCTGGAACGTTCCTTAAAAAAAAACAGATATTGATTCACTAATACCTGCTGAAAGGCCTTTTTTGAGTCTAACAGCAATGGCTCCTGAGAATATTTTATAATCAACTTTGAGCAAAGTTATCGGTCACAAGTTGTCCAACAACCTTTGATCTTTACCAGACTTAAGAATTAAGATTATCAGCCCCGTTTCATACTTGCTGTCAGTTCATCATTCTCCAGACATTCTTTAATAACTTTAAAAAGGATTTCCCTTATATCAATCAAAAGATGTTGATAAAAATTAGCTGTGAGGCCGTCTGTTCCTGGGATTTTGTTCATGGACATTTTGCCAATAGCTGCATCTAATTCGTCAATCCTAAAATCAGAGTTATATAAGCTTTTCCAGGAGTTATCAATTTGTGGAGTAAATTCTTTGATTTGGTCAAATATTGAATCATCATCATCCCCAATAAAATGGAGTTATAGAGGGTAGAGTAAAAATGAAAAATGTAATTTTCAATGTTCTTCGAATCTTTGCATTCTTTTCCATTGAACTGGATAGCTGATAGTCCGAAAAAAAGGAGAATGACCTCGTTGCAGCAAACAGGAAGGGGCGGGGCGGACCGCTGTCAGTCCCATACCTTATTTGAAAATGGGACAATCGCACTCCAGAAATGAAGGGGGCGCTATTTTCATAATCACTAGATTGAAAGAAGTTTGAGAGGTGCCCGGTTGGATCATACAGGAGACAGGAAGAAGCAGAACCTACGTTTAATGGCGTGTGTTTCTAGGTCGATTGTGGAGAAATGTCCTGGGTTGTGAGTAGCTAGGAAACTAGAAGCGATTCTTGTGGGATGGAAGGAGGAAATAGTGAAAATCAAGAAGATTGGAAGAAAGTAGAGTAAAAAAAAACAAGAA